TCCTTCATCACTAAATACGGCACATACTGTTATAACGTAATGCATTTTGGATTAAAAAATGTCGTTGCCACATACCAACGCCTAGTAAATCGGATGTTCAAGGAATAAATAGGAAAAATGATGGAAGTTTACATTGACGACATGTTAGTTAAATCCATGGGAGCAGAGGACCACTTAAAACATTTGCAGGAAACCTTCAACATATGAAGCAGTACAATATGAAGCTGAACTGTGCGTTTGGAGTTGGGTCGGGTATCCAATCAGGGAATCGAGATCAATCCTGATAAGATTAAAGTCATCGAAGATATCACGGTCGTGGACAACATAAAGGTCGTACAGAGGTTAACCGGGCGCATAGCCGCCGTGGGGCGATTTATTTCAAGGTCGTCCGACACGAGCCACCGATTCTTCACACTATTGAAGAAGAAGAATAACTTTTTGTGGACCCCGGAATGCCAACGAGCTTTGGAGGAACTCAAGAGATACTTATCGAGCCCGCCGCTACTTCACACACCAAAGATAGACAAACAATTGTACTTGTACTTGGCAGTCTCGGAGATAGCGGTAAAAGGAGTCCTAGTTCGGGAAGATCAAGGTACGCAATTTCCAATTTACTATGTTATTATTACCTTAGGTGAGGCCGAAACTAGGTACCCCCACCTGGAAAAACTGGTGCTCGCTTTGCTAAGCGTCTTTAGGAAGCTAAAACTGTGAAGTGTCACCCCATATGTGTCGTAACTACTTACCCGTTGAGGAACGTTATGCATAAGCTCTAACTCTTGGGCCAATTAACCTCAGATCCAAAAGAGTCGAGGGCCCTGCATACAAAGGCAACCCGATTTAGCTTATCCGAAGATGGAACCTTGTCCAGAAGAATGTTCGATGGCCTACTAGCAATATGTGACTAGGAGATACCGAGTATGTTCTAAGGGAAATTCATGAGGCACTTTTGGAAATCATTCAGGTGGAATCATTGGTTCGAAAGGTGATTAGAGTAGGCTATTACTAGGTCGATATCGAAAAAGACACGAAGAAGTTCGTACAAAAATGGGATGGGTGCCAACAACATGCTCCGATGATTCACCAACCCAGAGAGCTGCTGCATTCGGTTTTGTCGCCATGGCCATTCATGAAGTGGAGAATGGACATTGTCGGTCCCCTTACATAGGCGCCCGGTAAGGCCCAATTTATTTTGTTTATGACTGACTATTTTTCTAAGTGGGAAGAAGCCCAGGCATACGAGAAGGTCAAGAAAGAGGTCATCGATTTCATTTGGGACCACATCATATGTCGGTTCGCAATGCCGACCGAGATCATGCACGACAACAGAAAGTAGTTCATCGGTAGCAAAGTAACCAAATTTTTCGAAGACCACAAGATCAAAAGGATCCTATTAACACCCTACCACCCTAGTGGGAATGGATAGGCCGAACCGACCAACAAAACCATACTACAGAACCTTAAAAAGAGGATGACCGACGCTAAAGGGAAATGGAAATAAATCCTACCCGAAGTCCTATGGGCATATCATACGACCTCGAAGTCCAGTACTGGGGACATTCTGTTCTCATTGGTTTACGATGTTGATGTTACACCCCATGTTTTTGTACGTGAAAGCACGCCATAAGTAAATTGATCGAAGCTCAGAAGTAAGATGTTACATCCTGCATTTTTGTATGTTAAAGTTTCGTCGTAAGTAAATCGATATAAGTTCGAGGATGAGATTGTTTTGACATTATAAGCATTTATGCTATTTCAAACAAGTGATAAGTTAATTCGTGAAGGTGAGAGGGTAAGCGAATCGAAGAAAATGAGTTTCGTCGAAGTTTGGCAATTTGGAGGATAAAATACGGTCCAAGCTATAATACCTATATTCATGGACTAGTGTCATACAAGGTACCACATGACCATAATAGTAAGATATATAAGGTGTGTTAAAAGTGAGTAGTATTATAAGTAATTTGAGATAATTCTTAATTACGTGGATAATCGGGTAATTATTAATTTTAGTGGGAGATTAACACTTAATTAGGATGATTGGTGGTTACTTGTTGGGAATGGATAACAATCAACATAGCAGCTTTGCATTAAGGAATGATGACTCTTAAAGTCACATACAAGGTGGCACATTTGGAGAGTGGTAATGTTAGCAAGCGTCATATGACTACTTCATGACCTTTTAAGACTTCTTATTAGTTTGAAGGTTTGTTAGTAATTTATTCTTGATGTTTTATACTTCAATACCACACAAGAGGGGGGATGAGTGATCTGTATGGTACCCAATTTTCGCTTAACTAGATTATAGAAGGACCTGGTTCTTCTATGTGTTCAAACTACTACTCTTTGCGGAATAATAAGTAAAGAAAATAAAGAACACAAAGATTTTTACGTAAAAAACACCTGTCTCAAAAGGTAAAAAAATCACGACCTACTACTCAGTAGGATTTTCCCAAACTTCCACTAAAATCACTAAGCCAAAAATTGCATTTACAAAAACTCTTTTGTAAACCTAGGATTAACTCTAATCCCGTTGTGGCACACAACCTCAACTGTTGCGACAACTTCAAGTTAACTCTAACTTGAACACTCTAGGTACCTAATACAATTGCTTCTACAAAAGCTGAAAGGTACAATGTAAAATCACCTACTACAATTGAAGTAGAATAAAAGATAGACACTTGGAACTGGTTCTTCTATCTTGTTCAAGTAGCTTCAGGATTGGACGCTTGAATCACACATAAATTGCTTGCAAAATCGCCTTGCTCTTTTACTCTCAATTTACGTTTAACTTCTGCTTATATGCATTACTTCTGATAAGTTAGATTTATCTCCTTTACGTGCATCTCACATGTTTGGGTTGATCATGACTGTGCTTCACAAGATGGACCTGGTCCATGTTTGAGTTCTTTTGTCAGTCTTCAAAACTTCACCTTTACTTGGCCAACAAATTCTCCCTTTTTAATGATGACAAACTCTGTGTTTTTTACTTACTTGGATCATGTAAGAACTCAGCTTAACCATTAATACAAAGTTTAGAAAATTCACTTATCATTAAGGACCAGGTTAATTAGGTTATAAATATCACTTATTCAGAATATGTAAAGCATAATATCTCTTCCCCCTTTTGGCATCATCGAAAAGTTGCATACAAAGTGTGAGTCCCAGATTTTAATAAGTACTCATGGCCACCGGGGCAACTGCAATCATGGATTAATCATCAGTAATCAAGCAAACATATTTAAACTATCAAGGAAATATTAACATTTAACAAGAGCAAAAATAGTAGATATCATTGATAGAAGATATGTTGCTACCACAATCCACAACCAGAAAGCAAAAATATTCAAAACATAAGCAAAAAGAAAGAAAAATCTCTAATCCGAGTCACTGAAGGTACTAGACAAGTTCAGGAGATAGAGGCTAGAATTCCTAAGGCTTGGAAGAGCTAGAGGGTTGGTTTTGGGCTTGGAGAAGATTCAGCATATTGTGAAGAATCCTATCATTCTTCTCCTTTTCCTTGGTAAGCTCAATTATGAGAGTATCCCTCTTAGATTCAACCTCTGCCAAACGAGCCTTTAGCCTAGCTATCTCTGCATCCTTGGCTTCACTTTCCTGAACAAGAGCCCTGAGTTTACTATTGATAGGTATCTTCTTGGATGAACCAGGTTCATTTGGGATTGCATTAACTAAATAGTTATAAGCAAGCAGAGTATTAATACCAAAGTAATCCTTGCTTGTAGCCATTTCCCATTTCTTTAGTGGCACATTGCACCTATCCAGAACTGTAGTCAGAATAAAGCCATAGGGGGTAACATGAGCCTTGGAGCCATTGATAACCATGTCCAGTAGCTTGATGATGAATGCATGCCAATTAATTTGCCTTCCACTTTCAAGGCACTCCATCAGAACTAAGTCCATATAATTTGCAATATGCCTTCTCTCCTGCCTGGGTAGTAGGCACTTGTTGACAAATTCAAAAATGATTTTGTGTTGTGGCTTCATTTCACTCTTGTGCACAAACTTGGCCTCATTCACCTCTGCAACATCACAAAATCTCCTAGTGATTGTAAGGGAAGATGGAAGGGAATCCAGACTTGGCCATCTCTGTCCGGTGTAATCATCATATCCCTCAGCAGGGATGTCTAGAATCTCTCCCAGTTTCTCTGCATCAAATGTCACTTGAACTCCTTTAACTTTGCTTGTAACTCTGCCATCTTTGACTTCAGCATTTGCCATGAATTCAATGATTTCATTTCTGGCAAATCTCCCATCCATCTGAAGGACCATGTCCTTCCAGCCCTAAGCAGCTAGTGTGTCAACCAAATGAACCATCCCTGGTTCCACCAAATCTTTCAGCAATCTTCCCTCCAAAAATTTTCTTTTGCCAAACATGGCCAACTTGTCTTGTTCACCATCAGACTCACTTTCTCCATCACCACTCCATTCCTCATCTTCAGAAACTCTAACTTGTTTGCTTTTTTACTGCAGACCTGGTCCTCTTGGCCAATGAAGGTTTAGGAGCCTCAGACACAGAGGAAGACTTCTTGGAAGAAGTCTTGGTCTTTTTGGGCTTGGGGGTCTGAACCTCCACTGTTGTAACTTTCTCCTGATGGACCTGTTCCATCTCCTCAACAGCTTCTGAGGACTCTGCAACCTTACCCTTTCCTTTATCTATCATTTTCTTCTTACTTTCAGCCAAAACCCGTTTGTAGATCATTCTCACTCTGTTTCACCCTGCTTCTTGTGGCTCTTCCTTTTGGCAAAGAAGTTTCAGTAGTTGTTGGGGAGGAAGCCTTTCTTTTCTTGGAAGGTTGAGGAGCACTAGGGCCTTTTGGTGTGGGAGTTCTCCTTTTCTTTGGATCGTAACTTGCACCTACCTTTTTCAAAAGATTTGCTAGGGTCTCTTCAGTTGATGAACCAGGTTCATCTCCTTATGAACTTAGATTAACTAACCCTTCAGTAGCTTTACTAGAACCCCTTCCCCTTGACTTCTTATCACTTTATTCAACAGTTTCCTGTGCAACCCCACAAATAGAAGGTACAGGCAATACAGCAGTGGGTGAGTAATCAGTCACTCCTTTCCCTTTTCCCCTCACATCACCACATTCGCCCTCTCTCTCCTTTTCTTTTTCAAATTTCTTTTTACATTCACTCCTTCTTAATTCAGGTAATTCCACATCCCTGATAGGCCCAACCAAAACAAACCTATTTTCTAAATTTTCAGTCAAAGAAGAACTTACCTTAGAAGGGGATTTTTGAGACTTCTCAGAGTCAGAAGACCCAGGTCTTTCCCCCTCACTAGCAGATTTGTACGACTTAGAATCAGAGTCAGAATCTTGAGCCTGACTTGCCTTTAATTTCTCATTCAATTTCTTGGAGAGAGCACCAGATACCACCGTTTTGCGAGCAAGAATTTTTATTCTCGTTAGCCTGGGTTGGGGAGTCGTGCTAGGTGGAGGAGGGGTAGATGAATCAGAGGGAGTGGGCTGTGGAGGAGTTCCAGGATTGTCTTGTGGGTTTGTCATTATAGCTGATTTCTTGAGAGAATTGATGAGTTAAACCTTTGGAGAAGGAAGTAATTGAGAGTGAAGAAGGTTTTTGATGGTTTTGAATTATGAGGGTGGCAGGAAGTAATAATGAGTATTTAAAGGGAAAGACTCATTTAATGGATAACGGTAGCTTTAGCGATCAATTAGAGGTCTAATCAACCTGAAATTGCAAGTTGAATGAGCGGTTAGGCTTCCCTAGATTTTAGGCAATTTTTGTGGTTAGAATTCTAATGAGGACAGAACTGGTTCAAAAACAAACGAATAGGATTTTCTAAGGAGTTGAACAATTGTAGGACTCTGCTCATGATTTAAATATTTATATTTTTAATTGTGTAGAGTATAGAAAACATGTCTTGGCATTCAGATGAAACAATACTAATGAACCAGGTTCTTCATTTAGAATTCTCTTGACCATGCCTCAATTTACCACAATAGAGAAAATTTTGTAAGAGATCAGTGAGTCATATTAACACATGTCACAGGAGTATACTATTTACAGTATGAAGTTGATTAAAAATTAATGTAGATATTTACACAAGTTCAGATTTCCTAGCCAAAAATTTTAATTGTTTTTTCATTTTTTTTATTGTGCATTCTAAGCTGGTCTCATTAGGTGATCTTAATCATCCCTAATTCCAATCTGTTCCTTTCAAAGTTTTCTCTACTTAATGTTTTACTAAAGATGTCAACAATTTGTTTATCAGTAGCACAAAATTCTATGGTAGTCAATCCTTTCTCATAGTTATCTCTTAAGAAGTGATGTCTAACATCTATGTACTTAGTCCTCTTATGATGAACAGAGTTCTTTGTCATACTTATAGCACTAGTGTTATCACAGAATATAGGAATGCAACCAACTTCAATGCCAAAATCTATCAGCCGATGTTTGATCCACAGCAATTGAGCACAACAAGAGGCAGCAACAACATATTCAGCCTCAGCAGTGGATAAGGCCACTGGATTCTGCTTTTTAGTGGGCCATGATACAAGACATGAACCAAGAAAATGAGCCATACCTGAGGTGCTCTTCCTATCCACATGGAAACCTGCATAGTCAGCATCAGCATACCCTAGTAGATTGTAATTACTACATTTAGGGTACCAAAGACAAAGATCAATAATGCCTTTCAAATATCTCAGTATCCTCTTGACAGCAGTCAAGATTCCTTAGGATTTTCCTGAAAACGTGCACAAAGCCCTACACTGAAAACTATGTCAGGTCTGCTAGCAGTAAGATACAAAAGTAAACCAATCATAACCCTATACAACTTTTGATCAACAGATGAACCAGGTTCTTCTATGTCTAATTTAGTAGTTGTTGCAATGGGTGTGTCTATTTCCTTTGATTCATCCATTTTAAACTTTTTAATCAATTTTTTTGCATATTTCTGCTGATGGATCATGGTTCCATTTGGGTTTTGTTTGATCTGCAAGCCTAAGAAAAAGTTAAGCTCACCCATCATACTCATTTCAAACTCACTCCCCATTAATTTGGCAAAATCCTTACTTAGTTTGTCAGTGGTTGCCCCAAAAATTATGTCATCAACATATATTTGTACCACAAAAATATCCTTACCTTTTTCCCTCAGGAATAGAGTACTGTCAATTTTACCTCTTTTGTAGCCATGTTCAAGCAGGAATTTGGACAGTTGTTCATACCATGCTCTAGGAGCCTGCTTGAGTCCATAGAGAGCCTTGTCTAATTTGTACACATGTTCCGAACACTCCTTGCTCTCAAACCCTGGATGTTGTTTGCCAAACACTTCTTCTTTTAGGTAGCCATTCAGGAAGGCACTTTTGACATCTATCTAATGAAGAGTGAATTCCATGTGTGTTGCAAAGGCTATGAGGAGTGTTATTGCCTCCAGTCTTGCAACTGGAGCAAAGGTCTCATCATAATCTATACTCTCCTCTTGGCTATAACCTTGGACCACCAATCTTGCCTTGTTCCTTGTAACTATTCCATCTTTATCAAGCTTGTTTCTGAACACCCATTTAGTGCCAATTACTGATTTGTCCTTGGGTCTTGGAACTAGATGCCAAACTTGACTTCTCTCAAACTGATTGAGTTTATCTTGCATTGCATTTACCCAATCTGCATCCTGCAATGCCTCAGCAACATTTTTAGGTTCAATAAGAGATAGAAAAGCATCAAAAGTACACAGATTCTTTAATTGTGATCTAGTTTTAACTCCAGAGGTTGGATCAATGATTATGTTCTCAATGAGATGAGAACTTTGATACTTGTGAGGTTTCACAACCAACTGATTTCTACTTGATGTTTCTTCCATGTTTTGTTGCTGAGGAATAGGGTCATGAACAGGTTCCTTTAGGGGATTGGTTATAATTCCTCTTTGTTCAGTTCGCCCTATCGAGTTGCCTGGATGGAAGAACCTGTTCTGTCACCTGTTCCTTCTTTTGGTGCAACTTTAGCTTGAGCTGAGACTTCACTCAATTCTTTTACCAGCCCAATAGCTTCATCTTCATGTTCCTATCTCTTAGAAAGAATGTTAGTTTCATGAAAAACTACATGTACATTTTCTTATACACACAAAGTTCTTTTATTGAACACTTTATAAGCTTTTTATGTGAAGAATATCCCAAGAATACTCCCTCATCACTTCTGGGATCTAACTTACCTAGGGAGTCCTTTCCATTATTGTGCACAAAGCACTTGCATCCAAATGCCCTAAGATGGGATATATTTGATTTTGTCCCTTTAAGTAACACATAGGGAGTCTTCTCTACAAGAGGTCTAGTCATGCATCTATTAATGATGTAACACGCAGTATTTACAGCCTCTGCCCAGAAGCTATGGGGAAGTTTACTAGAAAGAAACATAGTCCTAGCCATATCTTCAAGAGTCCTATTCTTTCTTTCAACTACTCCATTTTGTTAAGGAGTCCTAGGGCAGAAAAATTATGATCTATAACAAGCTCATCACAAAATTCAGCAAACTTAGCATTTTCAAATTCAGTTCTATGATCAGACCTGATTGATGCAAGTTGATTTCCTAGTTGTTTCTAAGTTTTTCTAACAAAGACAGTAAACATGTCAACTGCTTCATCCTTAGATGTTAAAAATAGTACCCAGGTAAACCTAGAATAATCATCAATAAGCACCATCACATATTTCTTTCCACCTCTGCTCAATGTTCTCATTGGACCACAAAGATCCGTATGAACCAGTTCCATCGTCCTGGTTGTAATTACCATTTTCTTGCTTTTAAAGGATGATCTTACCTGATTTCCCCTTGCACAGGCCTCACAAACTTTGTCTTCCTTGAACTTGATGTTAGGTAACCCTATCACCAAGTCCTTGGAGACTAATTTGTTGAGTTGATTCAGACTTGCATAACCAAGTCTTTTGTGCCACGGGAGGGGATCATTGCCCAACACACTCAAGCAAGTGAGTTCATTTTCTGAAAGAGTGGACAAATCTACAATGTAAATATTGTTAACTCTTTTTCCCTGCAAAATAATCTTGTCAGTGGTAAGATTAATCACAAAGCATTTGGTAGAGGAAAATGCTACAAAGTTACCTCTATCACATAGTTGTGATACACTGATTAGACTATATTTCAAACCATCTATCAAGTAGACATTCTCAATGGAATGTGAGTCTGACTTACCTACCTTTCCAACCCCAATAATCTCACCTTTCTTCCCATTTCCAAAGGAGACATTACTTCCTTTTAAGTACTCAAGTGAAAGGAACTAGTTCTTGCTTCCAGTCATATGTTTTGAGCAGCCACTATCCATGTACCATATTTGGCTACTTCCCTTCACTTGGACCTGCAAAAAGAAATCAGAGGTTAGTCTTAGGAACCCAAACTAGTTTGGGTCCCTTTCTATATGCAAATTGGTAAATTAAATTTCTTTTGGCCCACCCAGGCAGCCTATTTTTCTCTTGAACAAAGGTTTAGTTCTTTTGACTGGCCTTTTCTTTTGTATTACATTCATTTTTGTAATGACCAGTCTTGTCGCAGTGTGTGCAGATTTTTTTTTCAGGAAGAGTGATGTACTTGCTTTTGGGGTCCCACTTAGGTGCTTGGGTCCCATATCCAAGTCCTTTCTTATTGCTACTGTGGTGTTTTTGTAGCTAGGATTGCATTAGAAGCCTTATTCCATTTGCAAGTTCTGTCTAGTTCATGCTTTACCTTCCCTAGGTCTTCTTTTAAGACTCTTATCTGCTCATCTTTCTTGTACAACTCATCCTTCATCTTTCCTAGATTTTCTTCTAAGGTGAGATGTGTGTGATCAGCTTTCTTCTTACCTGTTCCTAATTTCAGTTTTAAATTTTCAGACCTAAGTTCTAAGACACTAGTGTCAAGTTCAAGAACCAGGTTCTTCAACTCAGCATTTTTACTGTCACTTTCATTAGCCCTAGATTATAGATTTTTGCACTTGGCTTTTAAGATCACACACTCCCTAGACAGATGTTCCTTCTCATTGTTTATTACCTCATATTCATCGATGAAGTCTAGCAATATTTCAGATAACCTTTCTTTAGACAAAAATTTAATCTTGTCTTTGAGATGAATCACACTTACCTCTTGTTCATCATCTGATTCTCCAATGGCTATAAGTGCTTGTTCATCTCCAATTTCATCTTCTGAATCCTCATCTGATGTTTCTCCCCAAGCAACAACCATAGCCTTTGTTGATCTTTTGTTCCTTTTGGGTTGAACCTGTTCCTTCTTCCTGTTCCTTCGTTCAGCCCTTTTCTTCTTCCATTCAATTTCCCATTGAGGATAATTCTTGATCATGTGGTCAGTCTTGCCACATTTGTAGCAGCCCTCGTTGGTCTATTTCTCAGGAGCCCTTGGTTTGTTAAAGGTTGTACCTCTTAAAGAACCCTTTCCTCTCGTCAGGTACTTTTTGAAATCCCTTGTGATCATGGCCATTTCATCATCCTCTAGATCTGCACTTTCAGCTATTCTAAGAGCCAGACTCCTTTCCTTCTTGGGTGCATCC